GATGTTCCCTTATCCCAAGATGATAATGCCCCCATACACACTGCTAAACAGATTCAGGAGAGGTTTCATGAGCACCAGGATGAAGTCAGATGCCTTCCTTGGCCTCCCAGCCACCAGATCTAAACACCATTAAAGCTTTATGGGAAGTTCTGGAAGACAGTGTGTGAAGTTACTCCAAAGAACTGGAGGCTTTTCTTTCTGAAGATCAGTCCAGTATCCCACTGCACACCTCAGGATTCCATGACCACACTGTAGGAAGATCTGAACCTGTTATTGCAGCCAAAGGGGGCCAAACTCCTTATTAGGTCCTTGAGATTAATATACTGATGTTTCCATTATTTTGTCCACCCCCTGTAAGTGCCCACCCCTCAAAGATATAACAGACAAAAGTAAACAGAGGGATAATGTTTAATGGGGGCTGTTGTATGTTATGTTTATTTAATATGTTGTTTTATGTGTTTTATTGCTTTTCAGATTTTGCTCAGAAAATCCTTCTGGGGATTTTCTTCATGCTTCACTTAATTTTAAGTTTCCTGTATTTAAGTGTGATTTTAGAAAATGACAAAGGTAAGGAAAACCTTTAACTGTAAGAAAACATTTGATTGTAATAGAGCATTAACTGTCAATCATTTGGTAAATGGTGTTTGTAAAATGAATATAAACCAGAAACATTTTTTGGGGCTGCTGTTAACAATAATGCAATATAACCATTTCTAGTTTGAAGTTATTATTGAATTACACCTACTAATAAAGGCATATACTTTGATGTAATCAATATGAAATAGACAGTAATATATTCTATGTGAGCTGTAAAAAGGACACTTCCAAGGATGGAGTGTTTTGTTATTAACTTGTTCTGTGTGTCTTCAGATAAAGTCAAAGTAAAAAGTTTGTGAACCTGTTGTAGTTTCCTATATTTTTGTCTAATTCCCATGTAAAACATGGTCGTCACAATAATGAACAGTCTCCTATAACTAAAGATACAGATTTCCAGAGAATTTTTGACCATATTGAATAAATCATTCAAACTGTGAAACTGACGGTTGGAAAAGTGAACCCTAAGCTAATGACTTTTTAAAAAGCTCATTGCAGTCAGAAGTTAGCAAACCTGGAGTCCATTTAATGAAACAAATTCAGAGATGTGGCCTGAAATTACTGTGATTGATGAAAATGTTGAGTTTGAGCTTTTGACAAGAAGCATATGCAGATGGGAATCATGCTTCACACAAAAGAGCTTTCTGAAGAGCTACAATCAAGAATTGTTAATTAACATAAGGCTGGAAAGGGTTACAAAGTCATCTCAGGTATTTTAGATATTCATCAGTTTACTGTTAGGCAGGTTGTCTATAAATAGAGACAATTTGTTATTATGGCTACTCTGCCTAGAAGTGGGTGCCCCGCCAAGACGACCCCAAGAGCACAATGCAAAGTCATCAATGAGGTAAAGAAGAACCCTAGAGTGACAGTGAACGACTTGAGGACGTCATTAGAACCGGGTAACATCTCTGTTCATGACTCAACAATATGCAAAACACTGAACAAGAAAGGAGCCCATGGCAGGACACCAAGGAGGAAGCCACTGCTGTCAAAGAGAACATTGCTGCATACCTGAAGTTTGCAGTAGAGCACTTGGACACTCCACAGCGGTACTGGGAAAATGTTCTGTGGAGTGATGAAACCAAAATTGAACTATTTGGTAGGAGCAAGCAGAACTTCATTTGGTGTAAAAAGGGCACCTGCATATCAACATCAAAACTCTACACTAAAGTATGGTGGAGGGAACATCATGGTTTGGGCCTGCTTTGCTGCGTCAGGGCCTGGACAGCTGGCCATTGAGGGGAAAATGAATTCCTAAGTTTATCAACAAATTCTCCAGGATAATGTGAGGGTGTCTGTCCATCAACTGAAGCTCAGAAGAAGCTGGGTGATGCAACAGGACAATGATCCAAACATTGCAGCAAATCCACAGCACAATTGTTTCAGAAGAACTAAATCCACCTTTTGCTAAAATTCCCCCCCACACGATGTGCAGGTCTGATCTGCAGCTACAGGAAGCACCTGGTTGAGGTCATTACTGCCAAAGGAGGGTCAACCAGTTATTAAACCCAAAGGTTCAGTTACTTTTTCCACTACCACGGTGAACATCGAATGCGTTTGTATAAAAAAAGACATGAAAGAATAGAATTTTTTGTGTGTTGTTGCTCATTTTGCATTTCAGTACCTGTGACTTAGATGAAGCTCAGATCACTTTTTATGCCCAATTCATGCAGAAAACCAGATAATTCCAAATGGTTCACATACATTTTACTTTGACTGTATGT